AATTACCATGATTAGGGCCATTACCATTAGCCTGAACATCTATTCTCTCATTAACACGTGGAATATTCTGTCCATTGTTTAGGACATTATCTCTCACGTTTGGATTACCCCCCAAGTTAGGCATACCACTACCATTGTTTTGATTTGGCACTGTAGTACCCCCTTGGTTTGAAGTAGAGGGACCAAAAAGCGGTTCTACCCCTTGATTCGGATTTAGGACCGAGGGATTATGTCCCACAATTGTCCTAGTTTGAAAGTGATTTGTAAGAGGTATAGCCGGTTGACATATTTGGCCTACTAACTTATTCATTGTTTCGTTCAACGTCTTTAGTTGTTTGGCCATGTTGTCATAGTGTACATTCCCATTTTGGGTAAATCTTTCCATATTATGAATACTTCGAAGATTTACCTGTTCAACGACGTCTTGTGTGAGTTCTCCAAGTAATGCACGCATGGTTCGAGGACTCAACTCCGTCATTGGTTCGTAATGACTGTTACTGCTCTGATTCTGTCCATCTATTCGTGGAGAGGCATGTTGCTCCTCATATCGCTCGATCACAGACTGAATTCCTCCCTGACTTGCTGCTTCCTTATCGGATCTCTGAGGCATATTATTTCACATTTTGTACTTTCAACACCTAACACCACTGTCCCACTGGGCGTGCCAAATTATTTCGCGCAGGTTAGTCGCTAACAATTAAAAAGGATCAGACGATTGTGTAAGGGACAAACCTCTTGAGACAAAGTCCCAAAAAGGGGTGTTCTTTTATTGGCGATGACTTTACAATTAGAAATTAAAAACAATGTGCCCCCAAGGGGCGCAAGCACACGAGTTACTGAAAGAAAAGTGTTTAAGTCTAAGCTAAGGAAATGAAAATTACATATTCTCTGTTCGAGAGTTTTGGATTCAGTCCTTTGCTTCTATATCCTTTCTCCCTTTTATACTTCATGGACGATCTCTTTGTGATCAACCGCTCTAAAAACTGCTTGATCGTCCTATAACTGCCCACTTTCTTCGTAATGGCCAACTTCTTATGAAAACTGCCTTTTTTAACTGCTGCCCTTACTCTTCATCGTTCAACCGCTTTCAATTGAATTCCTTGAATCGTGGAACGTGATAGGGCTGGTTTAATAACTGCTTTGATAACTGCACTTCTTAATAACCACGACGCTTTATGTTTGTTAAGACCTTGGGCGACTTGAAGATTTGGGCGAGAATAGAGTAACAGCTCTGGACGACTGTATGACACTCCATTCGCTTAGATTCTGGGCTACTTGCAAACTTGGGCGATGGCGTTACCGCGTTCTTGGGCCTCCTTATTTGGGCCTTCATCTTGATTTGTTCGATTGGGCTTCGTTCTTTGGGCTATCTGATTTGGGGATCCTCCAATTGGGCTTCACTCCTTGGGCTGTTCGATTTGGGCTGAATTTTTATGTGTCAACAGATAGAAATCAACATTCCTCTTCTTCACTGCTCCTTCCTAAGCGTTGAACATAATTATATGTATACAGAGGGATCTGAACTTATCTTCTTCAATTCTTTTGGTGTGCCAAGGTACATGCGGGGACTTCCCCGCACGAAATTGGTGCGGGGACTCCTCACATATTATGCACGACTCTTTACATGATTTTTATTAAAATTTATATAAATAGATAAATTTACATGTAATGGATGAACAAGTCTATATGATGTTAGGCACACTATGAATAAAACTTTAATATATGTGTAATATATATGATTAGACCTACTTATATGTCATGTCTAACAATAGTATCTATATAAAATCTCTAAAGGATTTATATGCCCAAAAATATAGTTTAAATTTTCGAGAATTATAGAGTCACTTTGTAATTTCGACTTATACAAGTTATACAGTATGATCGTATTAATGAATATTTGTAGAAAAATATGATAAAATAATGAACATATGTGTCCATGTGTGTCTAAACAAATATCAACATCTTGATATGTCATTATTACTGTTGAAGAATTATACATTATTGAAACTCTTGAAGGGTTTTTGAAGGCAGTTGATTATTTTACAAAAGAATTCATGATAAAATGATTGTGGAAGAATGAAATTTGTTGTGAACCTGCATATCCAACATTTAACCAGTTGAATTCTTGTTCACGAGTCGATTTATGTAAAACAAATCATCATCGTCGTCGTCATAATAATAATAATAATAATAATAATAATAATAATAATAATAATAATAATAATAATAATAATAATAATAATAAGTCTTCAAAATATTTTATATGGAAAAATGATATATGTATTTGACACTCGATGATTATTTTTTACTTGAACTGAAAAGAGGATCATTTTCAACCATTGAAATGATAATGAATGACTTATGGGTCTTGAAATATCGTATCTTAGTGCAATGGATGCTCCATTTTAATCTTGTCGATATTTGATATTAGTTAGTTAGGATGATGTTGGTGCATTATTCTTTTTAATACATTATGAAAGTTGTCTCATTGACACCCTTTCTATAAAAATCAATTTGACAAATCTTTAATCAAGAAAAAAATTATATAACATGTATTTATTAACCATCATGATAATATTACGTGAGATCTAGCTATATATCGTATTTATTTACTTCTCAAGTCTTGTAGTAGATAATACTCTCATGAATATGTATGCTACACAAATCATCATGATAACCACATGTGAATAGAATGATTAATGACCTTTTATGTAGATTTCAACCATTATGTTAACTACAATCAATCAGGGATAAATAAATATTTCGTACAATTTTAAATCTAATTTTTACTAACTGCCAGAGAAGATTCATGCCAAAAAATTTAATTCAATATTAGGATTATGCCAAGAAAACTAAAATCTCTACATCACACTAATAAAGACACAATAAATACAATAATCGTGCAACGCACGTGATATCGACTAGTATATATATAAAACTTGATTACTCATTTACAATCCATTCCCGTGTAAACGACTATCTATTTTACCAAGTGTCTCTTCATAACCAAAGCCCTTTAGAAACTTCAATACAAGTTATGTAGCTAGTGCACTCTAATGTGGTTTAAGCATGTACTCTAATATTCATTCATTTAAATTTATTTTCCAACGTACTTCTTTAGATGTAACTCGCTTTTATTTTTTGATCAAAACCCTCGTGCATGCACAATTTTTATGAAGATGAAGCTTTTAAATTCAGGATCTCTATTTGCACTAGTAATCACAGTGAAGCATTGATTTATACATCCCTCTTAGTCTCGACTTTGGAGATAATTTGTGTTTCACTATCTATTTTTTGAGAACCGCCTAAAGTTCCAATCTGAGACGTGAAATGATTTTTCATCGTCTCAACTGGGAGGATCATTACTTCAACTAATACCGATGTTCATTTAATGGACTCTTAATATCTGAAAACGTTATAAAACCTACAAGTATCACCTAATTTTAATTTTAATTTTAATTTAGTTTTCCACATTAAGTGCAATGAGATCTTGAGTGTCCCAAAATGGTCTTTCTCGAGAGAAGTAATTGTTACTTGTCCAACGAGAATCCATGTATTGTAATTACTAAAATACAGTATGAAACAATAGAGAAAATTAAAGACGTGGTTAATAGGTTGAACTAAACGAGATCGATTGAGTTTACCAGTCATTTTACTCTTGACTTACTCTATAATAATCCCACAACATTTTTATCAGTTTTCACCGATTGATGGTGGCCTATGCAGTCTCTGAATAGCCAGCCCACAAGTGTCTGCAGCTGAGATATTTATAATTCAAACAATTTGTAAACACTTTCCAAATATCTCTTAGGTCAATGTGAGAGTGTTGGGGTCTAACAACTTGTACAGTTGCACTTTGAAAGAGTGAAAGGTAACGAGCATAAAATTCAAAAAATAAAAATAGAAGTCGTAAAATCTGAAAATAAACAACTGTGAATTCTAAAATCTCTATTAAATTTATTTGTAAACTCATTTATCTCGTATTTCCTTACGGATGGAGCCAAGAAATCCTTCAAGTATCTTCGTTAAAATCTAAAAATCCAAACAGAACCTAAAATATCTAACCAGGAAGCCTAATGGCCAATGTCAAGAATAGAGAAAAATATACAAATGACAAACCTTCTAAGCAGATCAATTAATCTTTACATTTCAACAAATAAGATCAATCGTCCAAAAATTCTCTTAATTGCAGATGATAGGAATAGAGAACAAAACCAAAAACATCTCGGATATTCTTAAACGGACTCAGTTTCAGCAAAAAGGGACAACAGTAGTTTAGTCTCAAGAAAATTGAAGATAAGGAAAACACTCACAAGCTTTATACTGATGTCAAATCCTCCGCTTGTTCCAGCAGTTACTGACCAGTAACAGCAAAGAAAACACTTACTTGATTAGTACTTTAATGGTTCTTCGTTCACTTCCCGTTTTGCTGGGAGGCAACATAGTTGCGGATTACCTCCATAGCTAATTGATGGGCGCTCTTATCTTCGAGTCTTGCAAGAGCATCCATGGCTTCATATGTCTCCTTGTCAGCAAAGAGCTTCAAGTTATAACGTGATGCTGCCAGTGGTATTCCTTCCCATTTATCCACCATCTCATGAAGTTTCTCGGTACCCTGACAGAACAACCACGAGTTAGAAAAACTCATCAACTCACTCCATATTTCTTTCTAGTCTCTGGTAACTGGCATACACAGAAGAAGTATTTCTTCTAGGTAATTAAATATCACAATATTTTGCTAACTTGGCATAAACTTCACCAACAAACTCACCTCAGAATCTATATATCAACAAGGTTCCAAAATGTATCTTTGATAAAATTATCAAGTTCGCCACATATTTTAGCTATTATACTCATCAATCGTATTAGCAAATAACACTTCCACTCATGATTTCACTTCTTCCTTGTAAGATCTTCCTAGGGAAATTTTGATTTTAATTTATTTCTTCTCTCAGTTTTTCTTAATCAAAAAACCAAAAACAAAAAAAGTTACAACTAGGGCATACCTGAAATAATGTCAGTTGGGACTTGGGACAAATTAACTCCTCATGAAACATACTTCTAAGCTACATAATTAAGCCATTCCTATATAGCCTAATATAATTCTTAAATTATGACATCTTACCAGCAGACCACCTTGAGCAAGAGCTGTAGTGATGGGGCGCTTCCATGCTCGGCGGATATCACACAAGATAATATTCTGGTTTGGTGTAATTCGCACATTCAAATTATATTTCTCAATAATTTCCCTTAGCGTTGCTTTCGTTGCTCCCTTAACTCGGCCATTATCAACATGGAGTCCACAGAATAAACTCCCATCTCCCTGCGAGAAGTCAGGAGCAAAAAATTGCAATGTCAAAGATTTGTGTAAAACATTGTGTTGAAACCAACAGATCAAAAAGTAAAAACCTATGAAAAGCCAAAAATTAACTGCATATCCAAAACAATAGAATTAAACAATGCAAGGGTTTCATAAACTTAAAAGTTAGGGCCGTACACTCCTTAAAACACAACACAGGTTTTATTTGTTCTGGCATTCACTAAAATATATTGCAAGTTTTCTCTATGTTTTGCATTAAGTCCTTGATATTTAATCGAATTAACAAGTTTTTGACTGCATTAATCATCTTCCACACATTTCCTACTGCATGAAATTCGATCGATAAAAATTTGACAGCACATCCGAAATAATAGAACTAACCTGCTCGTGCCATCCCAAGTAGCTCTTAAAGTCCCACTCAGGTAACTCCTGACAAGGTTCAAACTTCTTTCCATAGTATTGTTCAACAACAGTTCTGAACTTCTCAATCCCCCAGGAACTAATTAAGTATTTCATCCTGCTGTACTTGCGATCATCTCTTCTCCCGTTTTCTCTTTGTGTAACAACAATAGCCTTCACTGCATATAATATATCCTCTTTCGGGACATAGCCCAATGGCTCTGCCAGACGAGGGAAGGTGCTTTCCAACCTATGTGTTCTTCCCATGCCACCACCAACCTGCAGTAGTTAAAAAGATAACTATAGATTACTGATTCAAGAAACAATAGAAGAAAATAAAATAGTTGAAGGAATAGTAGACAGTCATATTACATATATGTTAAAACCCTGAGGCTCCCCATCAGCATTCGACACACCAACCACACCAATATCATTCGTGAAAATATCCACTGAGTTGTCTGTGGGCACAGTAACTGCAATTTTGAACTTTCTTGGCAAGAACTGAGTTCCATATATAGGCTCGGGTGAATCAGGAAAATTTGTACCATGAGAATTATCATTACGGGCCTTCACTACTTCAGGAGATTCAGCAGACATAATTTTTTCTCCATCTACCCACATATCATAGTAGAAACCAGATTGTGGAGTTAACAGTGCAGCAATGTCTTCAGCAGTTTTTTGGGCAAACAAATAATCTTTTCGTGCAAAGGGGGCAGCTGGAGCAAGAACATTTCTGTTGAGATCACCACATGCACCAAGAGTTGAGCCCATACTTTTGATGATAGAACTCATCACAGTCTTAAGGTCTTTCTTCAAAACACCATGGAGTTGAAACGTTTGCCTTGTTGTCAAACGAAGTGTTCCAATGCCAAATTGATCAGCTAAATCATCCATAACCAAATAGAGTTCATTTGAAACCTTTCCACAGGGATTCTTTGTACGCAGCATAAATGAGTAAGACTTCACACCACGCTCATCTCTGTTGTACTGTTGATAGCTTCCATGGAACTTTATTAATTGTGTAGCAGCTTCATTAATGTTAGAAGCCTCTGTTAATAATTCCTCATTGAGAGGATATCTTATAAAGTTACTATGCTCTTTGATGATTTCAACCTTACTGCGTTTAGGCTCCACAGAAGTATCAGGCTTCACTGGCTGCAAATAAATCGTGTAAATTACTAGAAATAGAATGTGTCTATTGCATTTAAATATATAATCATGCTGATTTGACATGCAGACATGATTATCCCACAAGATGAAAAAGAAAAGAAAGCCCAAGCATACTTCTGACTTTTCATTAGGAAGTCGAACGAAGAAAACTTTGCAATATACTTTACACCCTGTCCCTGACACATAACAGAATCAAGACACGCAAGAAATGAAACTATGGAAACAGCTGGAATATAACCATCTGTTACTTTGTCCACGTGTCCATCGAACATTTGTTGTAGCTTGGAGTTAGTTAGTTGGTAGTTACAGTTAGTTAGTTTCTTAATGTAATTCATCTTCTATTTATACATCACTGAATCTAATGTACAGACGAAAAATTCTGGAGTAATAGAATTCATTTTTCTCTTTTCTTCATTCAATTTTCCAATATGGTATCAGAGCACTAAGTGCTTCTACTGCCAACGTTTTCTTTGAAATTCAACTGTCTTGGTTGATTCAATTGTTTTAATTTCTTTCTCTGGTTGACATGGCATCAACAACCAGTACAACCAATAATTCACTATCATCAGTGAATAATTCCGGTAATGATGATGCATCTAGTCCCTACTACATTCATCACTCAGACAATCTAGGGCTTGTACTTGTGTCACAATCTCTCACTAGTGATAACTATGCTTCATGGAGCAGAGCTATGGTGAATGCCCTATCCGTGAAGAACAAACTCGGATTATAGATGGGTCATTGGCAAAACCTGAAGACAATGACGAACAGCTCAGTAATTGGGTCTGCAACAATATTATGGTCATCTCATGGATACTCAATTTAGCATCGAAGGAGATTTTGGCAACTGTTATCTACTCCGAATCAGCACATGATATGTGGATTGATCTGAAGGAAAGATTTCAGCAGAGAAACGGGCCTCGAATTTTTCAGCTAAGGTGTGAACTGATGAATCTCAATCAAGGCCACATGTCGGTTGGTGTGTCTGTGGTGGATCTAAGAAGCTCTCTGAACATTATCAGATGGAATACATCATGTCGTATTTAATGGGGCTGAATGATACTTATGCTCAAGTTAGGGGGCAGCTACTATTGATGGATCCCATACCTTCCATCAATAAAGTTTTCTCACTTGTTTCTTAGGAGGAACACCAAAGAACTGTCAACACCAGTACCAGTAATCCTGCTACTGAAGAATCTATGGCGTTCTACACTAAAACCGATCCTAAGAAGGGTGGTTCAGGACAAATGCACAACAAATTTCAAAGGAAGGAAAGACCCATGTGTACCTATTGTGGAATAGCCGGACATTCAGTAGATAAATGTTATAAATTACACGGCTATCCTCCAGGTAATAAGATAAAGCAAAAATTCAATGATCAAGTGGGAAACCAATCAAGACAAGTTGCTGTGAATCAAGTAGCATCTGAATCCAATTCAGAACAACTCATGCAGTCCTTAAACCAAACTCAATATCAGCAACTGTTGAGTATGTTGAGCAATCATCTGGCCTCTGCGAAGACTAATTCAAGGATTGATGAAAACTGCAATCAAGTGTCAAGTACATGCTTTTCCATTGCACTTGACACATGGTTAAAATACCTAAGCACTGGATATTGGATTCTGGGGCAACCAGTCATATCTGCTTCAGTGAATCAGCCTTCCATACTATGAAACCAGTTAAAAACGTTCATGTCACTTTGTCAAACCATAAGCGAATCTCTGTTAAGTTCATTGGGACTGTGACGTTTAGCCATGATCTGTTACTTGAAGATGTGTTATACGTACCACAATTTAAATTCAATTTGATGTCCATCAGTTCACTGACCAGGGACACTCACATTGATGATAGATTCTCCACTAATACTTGTGTTATCCAAGATATGCACCACCAGAATATGATTGGCAGGGCTAAGCAAGTTGCCGTTCTATACATATTAAGTGCACCATCTTCTTCACAAGTCAATGAAGGGAATCTCTCTTGTAATGATGTTTGTGTTTTTTTTTTCATGAGCTGTAAATAAAGTGAATGCACATACTTGGCATCACAGGTTAGGACATTTGTCATTCCAAAAATTAGCATTGTTAAAAGATCAATTGCATTTGACTAGTGATAAGGAAAGTAACTACAATTTAGCTCCATATACTATCTGTCCATTGGCAAAACAAGAAGACTCTCCTTCATATCAAATAATCACTTGTCTGTCAATCCTTTTGACTCGATACATTGTGATACATGAGGTCCTTACCATGTACTATCTCATTCTGAACATAAGTATTTTCTTACCTTGGTAGATAATTGTACGCGTTTTACTTAGGTTTACCTCATGAAACATAAATCAGAGGCTTGCCACCTCATTCCCAGATTTTTTAAGTTGATTGAAACTCAATTTCAAACAACTATAAAGAAATTCAGATTAGATAACGCCCCAGAATTGAAGTTTACTGAGTTCTTTCACTCTAAAGGAGTCATCCATCAATTTTCTTATGTCGAAAGGCCTGAGCAAAATTCAGTAGTTGAGCGTAAACACCACCATTTGCTCAATGTGGCTAGATCTTTATTTTTCCAGGCAAATATTCCTATTCAATTTTGGAGTGACTGCATCCTAACTGCAACCTTTCTCATCAATAGAACACCATCCCCCATTTTGCAAAATCAAAGTCCTTTTTCGCTATTATACAAATCTCCTGTTGATTACCGTCAATTTAGAGTGTTTGGTAGTCTATGTTTCGCATCCACTCTTCCTTCTAGTCGAACAAAATTTCATCATCGAGCAAGAGCCTGTATATTTGTAGGATATCCTCCTGGCATCAAGGGATATAAAGTGTATGACACCTTGTCCAAAAATTTCTTCATTTCTAGAGACGTGGTCTTCCATGAATGCATCTTTTCCTTTCAATCTATCTCTCATTCTCCTGAAATGATCGATCCCTTTCCTAACCTTGTGTTGTCAGTTCCTAATTCTGATATTGTTTCTACTCCTACACGAATACATATGCCAGAATCTATAATCATGATGAACAAAATAATGCTACAAGCAACACAAATGAGATACAAAATGTCTCATATCCCACTCCTAGTTGTCCTTGCTCATAAAATGTTTCCACAAAATCATCTCGAATCAGTAGGCCTCTATCATATCTTAGACTTTCATTGCAATCTTCTAACCAACAGCAAACAATCCCTTGCCCCTTCACCTCACTCTTTATCAAAATACTTCTCCTATAAGGCCTTTTCTCCTAATCATCGTCATTTTCTCCTAAATATCTCATCCAACTATGAACCTGAATATTACCACCAGGTAGTCAAATATGATCATTGGCAGGCTGCAATGTTAGCTGAACTGAAAGCAATGGAAATGACAAATACCTGGTCTGTCACACCACTACCTGATGGAAAACACACAATTGGTTGCAGATGGATTTATAAAATCAAATATAAATTTGATGGGAGCATAGATAGGTACAAAGTACGCTTAGTTACCAAGGGATATACCCAGCAGGAGAGTCTGGACTTCACTGAGACTTTTTCACCTGTTGCCAAACTACTACAGTCAAGGTTCTTTTAGCTATTGCAGCCATAAAGAATTGGCACATCACTCAACTTGACGTTAACAACGCTTTTCTCAATGGAGACTTATTTGAGGAAATCTATATGGACTTTTCGTTGGGCTATAGGAACTTTGCTGGTTCCAGAATTCAGGGGGAGAATATAGTTTGTAAACTTCACAAATCCATTTATGGTCTTAAACAGGCATCGAGGCAGTGGTTCTCTAAATTTTCCAATGCTCTTATTGCTCATGGATTCACACGGTCCAAATCAAATTATTCACTATTCACCAAAGGTTCTGGTAACTCCTTCATTGCTCTCTTGGTCGATGTAGATGGCATCCTCATCACTAGATGTAATCATCTAGAAATCACCTCCATTAAAAGTTTCTTACATTCTCAGTTCAAATTAAAAGATCTTGGTAATCTGAAGTACTTTCTTGGGTTGGAAATTGCATGTTCTAAAAAGGGTATTTTTTTATCACAAAGACAGTATGCTCTACAGTTGCTTGAGGACTCTGGATTTTTGGCATGTAAACCAGCTATGTTACCTATGGATCCAAAATTAAAACTCAGTTCTTTTGAAGGTGATCTTGTTCCTGATGCTTCTATGTATCGCAGATTGACCGGTCGTCTTCTTTACCTCGCTATATCTAGGCCTGATAACACCTATGCTATCCACAAGTTAAGCCAATTTGTGTCTCAGCCCAGGAAGCCTCATCTGGATGCAGCTCATCACCTTTTGCAATTCATCAAGGCGAGTCCTGGTCAAGGAATTTCGTTCTCGGCCCATCCTTCCTTTCAGTTGCACGCATTTGCTGATGCGGACTGGGGCACTAGTCTTGATACGAGGAAGTCTATCACCGGTTTTTGCATATTCCTTGGTGATTCTATGATTTGTTGGAAAGCTAAGAAGCAGACTACAGTTTCTAAGTCCTCAGCCGAAGCTGAGTATCGTGCTTTAGCCTCGGCCACTAGTGAATTGGTTTGGATTTCTCAATTACTTCTTGATTTTCAGATTACCAAAAAGGATCCTACTGTCATGTTCTGTGATAATCTTGCAGCAATTCACATTGCCTCGAATCCCATTTTTCATGAGTAAACTAAACACATTGAGATTGATTGTCATTTTGCGCGGGATAAGGTGGCAAATGGTTTTGTCAAATTATTACCGATTCGTTCCAATCATCAGTTGGCTGATATTTTTACAAAAGCCTTGCCTGCTTCTTCGTTGATTTCACTCTTGTCCAAGATGACTGTGGTCAATCCCCACATTCCATCTTGAAGGGGAGTAACAGAATCAAGACACGCAAGAAATGCAACTACGGAAACAGCTTGAATATAACCATCTGTTACTTTGTCCACGTGTCCATCAAACATTTGTTGTAGCTTGGAGTTAGTTAGTTGGTAGTTACAGTTAGTTAGTTTCTTGATGTAATTCATCTTCTATTTATACATCACTGAATGTAATGTACAGATGAAAAATTCTGGAGTAATAGAATTCATTTTTCTCTTTTCTCCATTCAATTTTCCAATAATACATTTGATCCAACAAAAGCAAGCTTTCAGTAAAATTACACCGTGTCCCTGCTACACTTGATCCAACAAAAGCTATTCTAATTACCAAGATTGGATTTAGCTGTTTTCTGTGAAATCTATTAGAGGAGAGTGTAAAATATTGAGGGCCCCAGATAGAACACGAGTTTTCAAAGATCTATCATCAGACTGAAATTGAAACAAAGCATTAATTGGTGAATGTTGGCTGCACTCTGTGGGACGGTCCAGATTGACGCACATCTGAATCCATTAACAGCCAGGATAGCTGAATTCCCGCAGCCACAGTGCAGACAGCATTTCTCCATTAAATTTCTTCATTTTTGGAGCAAATGCGTCAACAAAATAAGGTTGCACCTTCTGCTTTTTCCAGAAAATTCTCAAACTTATCTAATTTATAATTAGAGGAAGCAAAAGAAAACAGAAAAGAGAAGAACCTTTTTCATGTAACCAAAAGAGTCAACTTTATTCTTGCTCCTTATTTTCCTATTTTCAAGAAATGAAATACTCCTAAAATCTATAATTCCGAATTGCATAAGGAAAACAAAAATTCAGGAAAATCCAAAAAGAATTTGAAAAAAAATATATAAAAAAATTTAGAACAAAAATGGTAGTATTTTTTTAAACAGAAATGTTATGTACCGTAGAAACGGCTCTGATAATTGAGGTTGGTCCCGCAGAGGAAGCCGATAAAGAATGAAAGACATGCAGGCGTTTACCAAGCAAAATCGAACTGTAAGCACTTTTCAAGCCATTGAAACTCGTTGGAACCCGAAGCAGCTTCGGGTCTTTGTGAATTGCAGTGTTGGAACCTCCAAACGACGTCGTCATTTCTCCCTAGCAAAATGAGAGAGCTAGGGTTTTACAAGATTTATTTGGTCGGAAATCGAAAGATTTTTTCTGTTGTTAGAGAGGGAAAGTGAGTGGAGGATATAATTGAGATGAGGAAGAGGAGGAAGAAGAAGAAAGTGGTAATTGGGTGCTGGGTTAGCGGGTAGGATTGCTTGGTTCGGTAAGATGGCTGTCACGTGCCTGACACGAGATTATATTTTAATTTAATTTATCTTTGTTGGATTCTTTCATGTTATATGCACTACCTCTGTTATAAAATATTCATTTAAGACCTTATTTGGTCGGAAATAAAATTAAAATTTTAATAAATTTTGATAAATATTGATGAAATTTTATGACTAAAAGGCTATGAATTGTATAAAATATATATTTAAAATTAATTATTAACTTTGATTAAAATTTTAATTTTAATTCCTATCGAAAACAGGTTAAGATTTTCAAATGATAAATACAAAGTGGAAATAAATAAACCTCCTCACATGGGGTGGGGCCCACCTCGTGCGGGTTCTACCCAGTGTGAAGAGTGTAGACACTCATATATACATAAATTACGTACACTAAGCATAATCATCTATTTATTGTATAGCATATACCTCCATGTTGGCTGACAGAAGTTCTAGCTATTCGAATTCAATCCATTAAGAGGCTAAGAATACATTTTGCAATTATGGATTGACGGAAAAAGTATAGTTAAAAAATAATGAAAAGTTTTTCGCTTGGGTATAATATTATTTTATTAAAAATATGTGGTTGAAAAGAAAAATGTATTTTAAAAATAATGGAAATCAAACAAGGGCTTAAATTGAATGTTGATACTAATTATGAAGTTTGTGATTGTTACGCATTCCCATCCGTCAACTATCTTTTGTGAGGCTTATGTAATAAACGAAAATGGACTTTAATCTTCATCCTTGGCTCGACAGAGCTCATGTCTTCATCAATTGGGACTCGAAATTAAACACTTTTGCACTTGTGACACGAAAGTAACTCAAAGTAGCACTTTCAATGTAAAAACTCAAAACTATACCTTTAACGAGTGATATCTTTGCATAAGTGACCCTCAAAATATCAAATTTAAGAAGCAAGTGTAGAGAATCCTCACCTCACCACTCTTCAGGATCCGTGAGGGTCTATTTGGGAGTTTATTTCACCAATTTTGAGTGAAATCGTTTATGAGGGTTATTTTGTTCAAAACTAACTTGTAAAAAAGATACATAAATTTAAAAAATTATTTAAAAGAAAAAATTACTTTATAATTAAATATTTACTTATAAAATAAAAAATAAATATTAGTAAAAGAATTGTTCACAAAGTAAAAATACTACTATAAAAAATCACTTTCGTATAAAAAAAAAAATTGTTTACACTACTACGACAAAAAGATTGTAGTGAATATTCTGTCTGGTTTCATGAATCCGCAGACAAATCAGGAAAAGCGAAATACGCAGCAGCACCACTTCCTATTATTTGGCATTCTAAACTGGGGATCTCATTTTACACTATTTTTGGAAACGTAAGAAAGAACTTTTCGGGGATTGGCTCAGACGACTAGAATTGGGGGTGGATGTTTAATAAATTGAGGTTGGCTTCACAACACTTTAATGTAAATACTGTTGAAAATTATTATAACTACATGATGCGTTAGACTATAGATCACATACATTGTTCAGAATCTGTGT